AAAGGTGTTTGAACACTGTCTTTACTACTGACGAAGGGTGTTTGAACACTGTTTTTACTGTCTGACGAAGTGTGTTTGAACACTGTATTTACTGTCTGACGAAGTGTGTTTGAACACTGTCTTTACTGTCTGACGAAAGTTGTTTGAACACTGTCTTTACTGTCTGACGAAGGGAGTTTGAACACATAAAAATGGGGGTTTGGGAATTTTTTTCTTGCATTGCTGAAGCCCCAATTTTTGTGAAATAGTTTATAGAAGAAAAGTTTAAATAATACATGTTCTGAAAAAATGGTTTCTATGTCTTATCTCAAATGTAATCGATAGGCTGTGTGTGCTATGTTAATCAAGCTCACCATAGAGCCGCCGGGATCGATAGGCTGTGTGTGCTATGTTAATCAAGCTCACCATAGAGCCGCCGGGATCGATAGGCTGTGTGTGCTATGTTAATCAAGCTCACCATAGAGCCGCCGGGATCGATAGGCTGTGTGTGCTATGTTAATCAAGCTCACCATAGGGCCGCAGGGAGAACTGAACAAGAAATTTAGAAGTTAGTCAGCGAAAGCTAGTTATTGTAGAATCCTTTGTGTTAGTTTCTATTCAGAGAAACTAATTATTATATTTATCACATTATAGACATACCTTCCACAGAATTTTAACCAACCATCTTTTCTCAATCGAAAGAAATAAAGTTTGGAAAGCTGCGCGAGAGAAAATAGAACCTCGGGGGCACTCCGCATATCCCCAATGATCAATTCCCGCGTCTCTTTATTTGTTATTCTTATCCGAAAACTACTGACATAGCAAATAACGACCGAATTCTCTAAGGATTCCCCTCTTCCTTGAAAAGAGAAACCGATCCTAAAGAACACTAGTTGTCACGAGCATTTCCCTTGACGAACTTATAGATTCTGCCTTGTTGAAGAACAGAAACTAATTAGCTCAATGACAGCCACGCTGCTTATGTACTCTTGTTACCAACGTGAATCATTATTTGTTTGACAAGGAGGCTCACTCTTCGGATGGTGACGCTGCTATACGTTGTCTTCAGAGATCTTCCCTCACTTTGACTTTAATTTCCATCTTAAAAGAACTATTTTCCCAAATGTCACAAACCGATTCATTATATCTTATCGTGCGTTTTTTTTTTTTATAATTATTTCTTTCGTCTTTTAAGTTTTTATCCTTAAACGTATAAGGCCAAACTTTCACGCCTTTGACAGTGTTATTGAACCTCGTTATACACAAAATATTTCATTGTCTGCTCACTAGATGGCGCAACCTCTTAGCCCTAAAACTACAACATTTCTTATATAATAAAACATTCGGGCAAAAAAAAACACCTTAGAAAGCAGATTTATTCTTGAAGCGACTTAAATAGTTAAGACAAATATTGATAATAAACAAAATAAGTGATTTCAGGATTGTAGACAGAATCAAATACTTCCAATTTGTTTAATATTAATGTTGTTTCACAAGTCTTAATATTGACTGGGTTAATATTGTTTCACAAGTCTTAATATTGACTGGGTTAATATTGTTTCACAAGTCTACAGTAAGATTGGCTGGGTTAATATTGTTTCACAATATTACAGTAAGATTGGCTGGGTTAACATTATTTCACAAGTCTACAGTAAAATCGGCTGGGTTAATAGTGTTTCACAAGTCTACAGTAAAATTGGCTGGGTTAATATTGTTTCACAAGTCTACAGTAATATTGACTGGGTTGATATTGTTTCACAAGTCTAGAGTAAAGTCGGCTGGGTTAATATTGTTTCACAAGTCTACAGTAAAATCGGCTGGGTTAATATTGTTTCACAAGTCTACAGTAATATTGACTGGGTTAATATTGTTTCACAAGTCTACAGTAAAATAGGCTGGGTTGATATTGTTTCACAAGTCTACAGTAAAATTGGCTGGGTATTTTGCACCAAAACCTACATAGATATGCTCTATGAAGCGCTTCGAATGTCCATGAATCACTTAAAAGCTACTTATTGGGTTCATAAGTTAGTGTATTGGATTCATAAGTTGGTGTATTTCGTTCATAAATTGGTGTATTGAGTTCATAAATTACTGTATTTAGTTCATAAGTTGGTGCATTGGGTTCATAAGTTGGTGTATTGAGTTCATAAATTACTGTATTGAGTTCATAAGTTGGTGTATTGGGTTCATAAGATGGTGTATTGAGTTCATAAGTTGGTATATTGGGTTCATAAGTTGGTGTATTGGATTCATAAGTTGGTTTATTGGGTTCATAAGTTGGTGTATTGGGTTCATAAATTACTGTATTTCGTTCATAAGTTGGTGTATTGGGTTCATGAATGACTGTATTTCGTTCATAAGTTCGTGTATTGGGTTCATAAATTACTGTATTTCGTTCATAAGTTGGTGTATTGGGTTCATGAATGACTGTATTTCGTTCATAAGTTCGTGTATTGGGTTCATAAATTACTGTATTTCGTTCATAAGTTGGTGTATTGGGTTCATAAATTGGTGTATTGAGTTCATAAGTTGGTGTATTTGGTTCATAAGATGGTGTATTGGGTTCATAAGTTGGTGTATTTGGTTCATAAGTTGGTGTATTGGATTCATAAGATGGAGTATTGGGTTCATAAGTTGGTGTATTGGGTTCATAAGTTGGTTTATTGGGTTCATAAGTTAGTGTATTGGGTTCATAAGTTGGTGTATTGGGTTCATAAGTTGGTGTATTTGGTTCATAAGTTGGTTTATTGGGTTCATAAGTTGGTGTATTGGGTTCATAATGACCAAACATTAACATTATTACAGTAACATCGGGTTCAGAATTTATTCTTTCACCAAAACCAACCATACGTCTTCTACAAAACTTACGTCCTCATTAATTGTAGCGTTAAAAGGGCCTGACGTGTATTACTGGTCTTTACGTCCTCATTAATTGTAGCGTTAAAAGGGCCTGGCGTATATTAGTGGTCGTTACGTCCTGATTAACTGTATCTTTAAAGGGCCTGGCGTGTATTAGTGGTCGTTACGTCCTCAGGACGTAACGACCACTAATACACTGCCAGGCCCTTTAAAGATACAGTTGATCATCAACTGTATCGTTAAAAGGGCCTGGCGTATATTAGTGGTCGTTACGTCTTGATTAACTGTATCGTTAAAAGGGCCTGGCGTATATTAGTGGTCGTTACGTTCTCATCAACTGTATCTTTAAAGGGCCTGGCGTGTATTAGCGGTTAGCACGCTTCGAATATGATGTAATGTTTCAGCTGCGGATGCGTTATAAGAGTGAAAGTCAACCCCACTACTCGATTCAAAGCATGGCAATTCTCTTGTTCCACCGGGTGGCTGCCCTCCCTCTAGTCTCGTTGGTTAACCCATGGACACATTAGGAGTCGTTCAAATAATAAACAAACAAAAAAATGTTATTGTTTTCACTTCTGTTAATATAGAAATTTAATACGAGTGGTCTTTTAACGACCTCAGTTAGTACACGTTATCCTTAATTCGTTTAAGTGAACGTCTGTTCCGTACGGGTACTAGTCAGACATACTTCTGTTTACTTAGATACGTCTGTTATGTACGGGTACTAGGCAAGCGTATGTCTGTTTACCACGATTTAGGATAATACTATCACAAACAACCTTGTAGTTTGCCTCTAGTACGTCCGCGCTCTAGCACGAGCTAACAAAGCTTTGTTATTTAAAAGTAGTTCAAGACTATTGTTCCAAACGCATCATTTTGACATAACTCCCACTGCTTGTTTACGCAGCCTATTTGTAAAAGTCTACATAATATTTGTTAACTCCCTACAAGTGCAGACTGTATTATATTTGTATTTCCATGATATATGTAATATACTTCACATGCACACAGTGAACTACGCTCGCTACTAAACTGACGGAGCTGTTCTTCTTTCTCATTACTCAGAAGATTAAGAACACGATTTTCATCCTTCTGTATCCGTGCTTTTAGCCATAGATTGGTTTTATTACTTATCGGATCTGGTCAGTGTTGTCAAGGAAACAAGATTCACATCTTTTAGCCTAGCTAGGACTTACCGTATATCAAATTAACTGACAGCAAAAAAATATGACTACTTATTTCCAGTATTGTAGTTAGTGATGTTAGTATTAGAGAGTACTTTTACAAATCTATGGCTTATATGTTACGGTGTTATACATTATGTATAACCGTTTTCGTATCACTGTTTAGAAATCCAGGCATCTTTAACTAGACGTTTTTTGGCAGAATTGTTTATTTGAAAGCTATATTTTTGTCTGTAATAACAAAAACTACTTTTAACATATATAACCGTTCAGTAGGCTTAACAATATATGGTAAAAATCATGTGACATTGTACAGGTTCATAAAAAATAAATTCCGCAGTCTAAAGTGATTTTTGTCACGAGTTTTCACCATGGTTCGCTGGTTTCCAGAATGTATACGGTTGCTTTATAGCTATTGTACTATATATATATAAACAGGTTTCTGATTAACTTTGGTCTTATACTCTCTAGCCCAAGTGATGAGTTAAGGCAATGAACCAATAGCCTTCCGAGCAGTGACAAAAAAAGATAAACATATATAAAAAGTTACTTTTACACATCACTGTTTTGAAATGGACAATTTCAGAAGAACGAGAGAAAGAAATTTGAGTTTAGCCTAATTTTTGTCACGATTATAGGCCTAATTTTGTTTTTATAACCATCAGAATTATTCGGAAAATACCATGTTAAGACTAGAACAACACCAACTGTTACCGGATTAGATTTCTGTAATGTCGTATGAATATTGCTGAGTCACTGTATTATATTATTATAAATATATATATATAACGTTTCTACCAACAGCACAAAGAAAAAATTAAACCTTATGTGTCAATACGGGATGCATGTTTACATTTCATATTTCAATTATTACGTCTCGTAAAATATTTCGTTGTCTAGATATATGCTAATAACTTGACACCTCCTATCGGAAAACTGTTTATTTTTACGTATTCATTAAGCCTTTTCCGTGTACGTAGGTTGGTTGGTTATCTGTAATTATGCACAAAGCTACACAAGAGTCTATCTGTGCTCTGTCCACCACAGGTATCGAAATCCGGTTTCTAGCGTTGTAAGTACGCAGTCATACCGCTGTGCCACTGGAGGAGCTGTAAATAGGAGTCGAAAAATTACGTACTTTTACGTATTCGCTAAGCCTTTTCCTTTTAAATAGTTTCAGAAAACTAAGTAGGTTTACGTAATAACTGGGTCTTTTTTATTTCCCGTACGTGGCTTAGTGACTTGTGTTCACAGACTGTGAATATGACTATTCATGGTTCGCGACCCTTTGCCTCAAAAAAAAAGCACTTTGGATTTTGGTGCTTTCGGTGCGTTATAAGAATGACGATCAAATCCCACTGTTCCGTCAGGCAAAAGTAACACCAAAGTTGGTGGTGGGTGCTGTAGTAGCCTACGCTCTAGTGTATCAGAGGGACATTAGGGACGTCTACACCCAGAAAACATTCGTACCAAAACCACAGATGTGTTTCTTGTGTCACCACTCCGAAAAAAGACAACCAAAAACTTCTAAGATTACCGTGAAATATTTGACATTCTTTCTGTCCGTAGTTTCAACATTGAAGTAACACTTAAACACCATAACAGTAACACGATTAATCACACACTTGTATTATTTCAGACTGAAATATTGGTGTTCGCCACGAAAAATTCCTAGTGTTAGTACTTGCAACAAAAATATATATTCTGGATTATTCCCTCTTCCCAAGATACAAACTAAAAAAACGGTTTATCTTGGATTCTAAGAAAAAGTGCTTTTTTATCAGTTTTTCACATATTTTTGTTTTACTTTATTAAATCAAGTGTTAAAAATCATACAGAAATATTAAAAATTAACATATTTTTCAAAGAAAACCAGCTCCTCCTCTGCTACCCCAGTACTACAGGCTCATTATCGTTTAGCAGGTTAACCCCCAGCTAACAGCTAGGTACCCCTCATACAGCTAGTTAAATTAAAACAAGTGGGATAAATGTCTTGCTCAAAGACAGAAAAACACCACACGAGCCAGCGTCGAATCGGCAACCAGCTGACGACAAGTCCAAAGCCTCAAGGCCACTCTGACCCTTCCAAAGCTGGACCAGCAGTGCCTCAGGGCCACTCTGACCCTTCCAAAGCTGGACCAGCAGTGCCTCAGGACC